CTTTCTTTGTCTGGAGGTACAACTACTCTTATAAAACACTTAAGAGCTGACTGAAAATAGAACAATCCAGTCAAACAGACAGATTTCAATATCAGCTGCAACATTTTCTAGTTCTGTCGCCTTTGGAATGTTCCTGAACCTCTGAGTGTCTGTTTCCTCATTTTTAAAAGTAGAGGCAATAATAACTAATCCTTAAGGTTTAGAAGAGGGTAAGCAGTTAAGATGTGTGTGGTGCCTGAGGCACTTGACAGGAGTTGGCTAGTAAATATCGTCATAGCCAAAGGCAGAAGGGAAGAAGGGATAAGAAGTCAGGCAAGGGCGCCTGGGTGGCTCAGTCGGTTAAGCGTCTGCCTTCAGCTCAGGTCATGATCCCAGGGTCCTGGGTTTGAGCCCCACATTGTGCTCCCCACTCAGTGGGGAGTCCGCTTCTCCCTCTCCCTCTGCCCCTCCCCCCTGGCTCGTGCTCTCTCTCTCTCTCTAATAAATAAATAAAATCTTAAAAAAATAAAAAGTCACACAGGCAAACCTATGTCTGGACAGAATGTCACCAAAAAAAAAAGATGTAGGGAGAAGTATTAGCTGGCTGATTTTGAAAGGAAACTAGCACACCTCGCATTGTGTTCAGTCATACAGAAACAAGTAGTGAGCCCTGATACGTTCCAAATGAAACTGCCAAAGTCCACGTGGCAGCCTTTCTAAGGAAGTCCAAGAGATCATTGCCTTCTGCGATACGAAAGAGTACTGGTAAGGACTAACATTAGGGTCAAGGACAAGGTAAGAAGTCAGGGGCCCTGAATGCTAATTCTGGCTCAGATTCTGCATCTATAAATGCAGGGAATTGCATTTATGTAAGTCCTATTTCTAAACAAATATAACAGTGAGTTAATCAAAATACCTTCCCCCACATTATTATCAGCTCTTTACCAACTTGACAGGGAAGTCTTCCTTGTGTTAAGTAAGGGACCGATCCAGAGGGGCAAAGTGATTTTGCACCAGGTCACACAGCTGGAAATGGAAGAGCTGGGTTTCAAACGCAAGTCTGTCCTACACTGTTTCCAGCACCCATTCTGATACTCTGCTAGGTCCCCTGAATTTTGTACGTCTGCCCTCAGACTACCACTGGGGTTTAAGAAGTGAGACAGCAGAGAAGTGTATGAGACGAGACCCCACCTCGGTCTTCTTGCAGTCAAGGTTAGACTGCCAGGCTTACCAGACACAGCAAGTCCTCTTTGGAAAACATCATACATTGTCTTGATATCCGAGTAGTAGTAACATAGCAGGTCGTTGCTCTTCTGGCCAGCGCCCTTCCGTGCCCCGCCCTAAGACACAAGACCAAGTTGAGGCCAAGACTGACTCTCTCCCACCCTTTCCAAACCCTTAGGGATTGAATCGAAGAGACCATCCATACTGAACACTGAGGTCACAGGAATGACCTCTTTATTATTCAATCGATTTTTTAAATCCCCAAATTGTAATATCTCTACATTATAGAAACCCAGTGACTGTCACAGTTACGTTTCTAGCGATCTCCCCCCAACCCCTAGGCCGACACACATACACATGTGGAGAGAGGAGAGATAATAGTATAGTTTTATGTTGTAAAAATCATACCCGGTTTAAACATCTACCAAATGCACACGACATGCCAGCACTGTGTAGAAGATGCTATAGATGAAAGTGAGTTAAGACCGAATCCTTGTCCATCAGCATCTCATGAATGAGAGACTTTGGAGTGGAGGTGAGGTGAAAAGGGCAAACATACAACTATAATATTGTGATGTACATGCTGTAATAAAAATGTACATTCTGGGAGCTGAGTCATGCTACCCATTCTGTATTAAGTAGAAAGGCTGCAAATAAATAATGCTTAATAGGGACTTAGAAGATAAGCAAGCACTTGCCACAAAGTTATAGTTTGGTACAGGGGAGGGAAAGAACAATGCAGAGTGAAGGAACAGCCTGTATAAAGACCCAGAGGCGAAAAGACACATTGCAGAGTCTGGGGGATGGACTCCGTCTGTCCTGTAGAGATCAGGGTATTAGAGGAAGAGACGGTAGCTACGGGCCTGCCTAAACATACCAGCTGGAACCACAGGATCAGGCTCTGATGAGGATCTTGGAGCAGCAAGACAAGCTACACTCTCACACAAGTTAGTCTAGAGAGGACTAGGCATCAGTTAAATAAAACATTCAAAAATGTAAGCTACTGCTGTGATAAGGGCTAAAGAAGGACAGGGTAACATAACACAACAAGAGATCTAACTTAGTTTAGAGCATCAGGGAAGATTTCCAGGAGATGTCACATTAAGTCAAGGTGTCAACAATACAGTTCCCTGACTAGCAAAGGAAGGTAGCGTCTTACTGTTTGTTTACATAGATGGGCTGAGGAAAAAGGAGAAAGGAAAGATGATTCAGACTCAGTTTTAGGCAACTGGATGAGAAGAGATGCATTTAACTGAGATAGAGCAGGAGGGGAAATAGGAAAGGGTGTGTGTGTGTGTGTAAATATGCAATAAAGAGACTTGTTGAGCTTGAGGTGCCACTGACGTTGTCTGGGACTGGGGAGAGATCAGAACTAGGAAGTCAGATTCGGGTGTCATAACCTTTTAGGTACAATTTCAAGTCATGAGAGAGGAGGGATTTTTCTCAGCTGGGAGGATTCCATAGGGATTGGCAGACTATAATCTAGGGCCAGATCTGCCTTGTCATCTGCCTTTACAAATAAAGGTTTATTGGAACACAGCATGCTCATTCATTTACATATTGTCTGCTTCTTTCATGTTACAACAGCAGAGCTGAGTAGTTGCAACAGAGTCCATGTGGTCTGCAAAGCCTGAACCATTCACCACCAGGCCTTGACAGCACATGGTTTCCAGCCCCTGCTTTAGATGAACTGAGATGGTGAGACTGAAACTCTAGCTGACGGGAGGAAAGAAGCTAAGTGACAAAGACTGTCTTGGAATTAGGAAGAATTCTCATTGAAGGGTAGTATGAAAGACAAAAAGGAGTTTTAAGAAAGAAGAATTCTCAAGTCAGTTGAGAGGAAGGCTGAAGGAGAAATCATTGAATTTCAAAGTTAGGTGGTAAGTGACCCAGAGGAGTTTGGGGAGATGGTAGTAGTAAAGGTCAGATCTCAGTGGGTTGAAGTTCAGGAAAGGAAATGAACAGACTACTCTTAAAGAACTTTAGTGGGAAAAGGGAAGACTGAAAGGAGGTGGTGGTCTGAAGCAGCAGGATCAGCAGCATAGGAAGATGCCAACAGAGAACGTGCAAACATCCCCAAATAAGTGTTGGTGGTGGAGAGTGGACGTAACTTGGAGTAAGATTCCTGGGTAGAGGAAAGAAGTTCCTGAAAAGATCAAAAGGGGTTAGCCTTCTAAAGGAACAGAAATGCTTTCTTCTCTGCAAAGGATTGAACATGAAAAATGATGAGGAGAATATTCTGGGAGCTTTCCCTCTGCTCGGAGATGTAGGAAGCTGTATGATTTGCTGAAAGTTGGGGAATTGAGGGGAAAATCCCACTTCAACTTCTGCCAGTTTTAAGAATGGATATTAACTCAAAGCCAGAATTTAAATCAATGAAATAACTTCTTTATCATTCTCAGATATTGGTATCTCAATGAAGACATTCTCCTACCCCCAAAGCACTGGCTCTATCATCTAGATCAGAGGTTAGCAAAATTTTTCTGTAAAGGGCTAGGCAGTAAAAACTGGGCTCTGTGGAACACATATGAACTGCTTTTTTTTCCTTATTTTTTTTAAACATATCTTTTTAAAAATGTAAAAACCATTCTTAGCTTGCTAGTTGCTCATTAAAAAGGTGGATTCTGCCCACGGTCTGTAGCTTACCAACCTGATCTAGATTATTGGCTTCCTAAAACCTAGCTGTGGTTTCATTTTTAATACAAAGCGAAGTATGCCGGTAATCAAAGTTTAATTTTGTAGATTTTCTGGTGATTGCTAACCTAAAAGGCTTACTTTCTCACCCTACACCCCACCTCTTCCTGAGTTATCCCAAGGTCTTGAATTACAGTTTGTGCTTGATCAAACGAAAAAGAGGATTGGTAAGTTACCTCAATTCCCACGGACTGGTTGTTCAAATCCACAAAAGGCAAGACTGGCTGAGGTCTATTGACCAGCCACAGGATCATGGCGACTCCAAAGGTCAGGATGCAGATCAGTGCCGGGGTTGGAAGTGGGGAAAACAAGAAGTTAAAGATAAAAAGCATCTTTGTGAATAGCAGCAGGAAGTTCAGGCCTTAAAAAAAAAAGAGGAAAGAAAAAGTTAGAGGAAATGGCTGAAATTTTTACTCAATAGTTGTGTTTACAAAAGGACACACACACACATACACACACACATAGACTTCTGACCCTCCAAAAAACAAGGGTTAGACCTCTCTAGCGGCAGAATTTCTATTACTGTTTACTTTAGCAATGTTGAAAATAATAGAATGTATTCTCCACTCCTGTGACTTGACTGGCCTCCTACAAGACAGAAAGGATCAAAGGAAACAAGTTAATCATTTCCTCAACAATTTTATGAAATGAATGCCCTTTTAATTTTTGGCCCACAGGGCCTAAAAGAAGCCCTTCTGGATCCAGCCTAAGCTGGTAGTCAGAGGAGGGCACTCTAGAGACCCTCCCCTGCCCAGGCCGACTGAGGGTCAGGAAGGACTGTTCTGCCTGGATTTGTCTAGTATAAAGCAGAAAAGGGAACATCTGTAGAGGTGACTCAACAGAGTTTAAAAATCAAGCATTCTGCATGAAGGACATTTCCGGCTGACCAGATATGCCTTGCTCATTGCTTTCTTTTTTGAAGCATTGGGAGAGTCTCAGAGAGCAACAGCGTGTCAGCTTGCTATGTCCAATGTCATCTCCTCCAGGGAGCCTAGAGAAACCATTTTTGCTGGAGGCAATGTTAGCCAGGTTCGCAGAAAGGGTGCTGGAGAATGGACTTGACACATGGTAGCAAGTTAGCGTTAAAGATTTAGGCCAGGAAGATATCTCAAGAAACTGAAACCACAAAGGTTTTCCCCAACCCAGGTTTTCTTGTAGTTTCCAGCAAAGTTCGGCTTCAAACTGCTCTAGTAGCAGGAACTAGTGTTTGGGCAGGTCCTAGGAACTTACTCTGGCTGAGGCCATCTCTTCCAATTCTTGCCCAAAACCGTTTTCAGGCTGGGCTTTTTGCATGGATCATGAAATTTAATCCAACCAATGTCATGAAGTAGCATTTTAGAGATGAGAAAAATTGAAGCTCCCAGGGGTAAAGCGACTTGTCCAAGTTCACTCAGCATTTCCCACTGCTGCTTCCCCATTGAAATCTATAAAACTACCACTCCTCTTTCCTCAGGAGTCTAACTATAGAGTTCAAGGAGACCGAACCTGTCTGGAGCCTTATAGGCAACAGCAAAGGAAATTCAGAATTTGTACTCTTCAAAGTTTACTGCAGTGCCCTATAGAACAATAGCTCAGAGATGAGGCCAAACTTTCCCACTTCAAATCAAGAGAGCAAAGCATGCCTGATAAGAAAAAGTTTGATCAGATCAAGATCATAGTTGCCCTGAGAACTTTAGGGGCAACTGCCAGTAGCCGGCATCTGGAACTTTCTCCATGAAGACAAACACTTCCCTCCACCCTAACAAAGGCTATGGGGCCTGGGAATTGTGCATGGGAAAAGAAACAGTCACAAGAATCCTTCCGTCAGTCATCTGAGCATTCCTCTGCTCCCTGACAGGTTATTACCTGAACTTGGAGCAGTCCCTTTCCATTTTATGGAGGAAAGCTGAACTTCCAGAGACTGGGATGACTGTCCCCCACTCCTTGGTTTCTTCCACATTGTGTTTAGGGGAAGAAAAAGAAGACACAACAAAAACAAAAGCGAGGCCCCACAGGTGCTAGGTTACCTAACGATGGGTTCCATTGTGACCACCTGCCAGGATTCTGAGAGCTGGGAATTTTGGAATCCAGCCTTACCTGGATTGGTATGGTGAAGTGGCACTTCCAGGACACAGAATGTGTTCAAGAGCCAGTCATGTAGAACTTTGTTGTTCGTCAGGTGGGGAACAGTGCAGCTCCGGGGTGGAAATTGTGAAATTGAGAGTGGGTAGCGGCGCTCAAGGGAAGAGAAACCTGCTCTGTGCTCACCCATCCTTGCACCATTAGCCCTTCCCCCCCAGCCTGCTAGTACCTTCTGATCTGGGATGCTCTCCTCTGTCCTACACACCTTCAAATTAAGAGATTCTTAACCTCCACTCCCCTTCTCAACTATGGGAACAAACTGTCACACTAAGGACTTTGGCTTTCTTTTTGCAGACAGCAGACTGACATTTTAATAAGAAACTTGGCAAACAGTGTCTTCAAAAGAGGGTCTAAAGGTGAAATTGATGTTTGAGGGGCGGTAAGGGATGCGGGGAGGAGGGAGGTTGAAGGGCCCCTGCGGGTAGCACAAGGGGAGGGGAGGACACAGAGAGAACCCATGACCAGTCTAAAGCAGCACCTGCTGTCAACCCCTGGCTGATTGTGACCACTCCATAGTGAGAGCCCCTGATCACCAGATGATCAGATTTTTTTTCTCCCTGGAAAACGTGGAACACCGCATTTTTGTGAAACCCCCATTTTAACTATTGCCTCAAAGAGTTAAGTCTGGTATGAAACAAACAAAAAGACATCTGGCTTAATCTGGACCATGGTCTTGTCAGTTCTCGAACCCTCCCTTTTAGACACACTGCAGTCAGACTGCCCACAAATGTGATGAGACTGACTACTTTGTTACAAACAAGGAAGATACTTACAAATGTCAGGTCATCAGTTTCAGGAGAATGAAATACCTTGCTTACACTGGCAAGGGGTTTTAATTGCAGAAGACACTGAAGGATGTGTCAACTGAAATAGCTTACTCTGTTTGCCTTGGCAAATCAAGTAGCCAGTTCAAATAGGATATGTACAGAATTTCAGACGGTTCCTCTCGGCTGCCCCACATTTTTTAAAATTGAAGTAAAATTCACAGAAGATAGAATTAACCATTTTAAAATGTACAATTTAGCAGCCTTTAGTACATTCATGATGTTGTACAACCATCGCCTCTAGTTAAGTCCAAAACAGTTTCATCCCCAAACGGAAACCAAGTGCCCATTAAGTACTTACTCCCTCCTCCCTGCAGCCCCTGGAAACCACTAACTTTGTTTCTATTTGAATAATTTCTTACAAATTCTTAATATTTCATATAAATGGAATCATGTAATATGTGACTTTCTGTGTCTGACTTTTTTCACTAAACGTAATATTTTCAAGGTTTATCCATGTTATAGCACATGTCAGTGCTTCATTTCTTAGGGCTGAGTAAGTATTCCACTGTATAGACAGACATTTTACTGATTCATTCATCGGCTGATGGACATTGGGGTTGTTTTCAGTTTTGGCTATGGTGACCAGTGCTATGAGTATTTGTGTGCAAATTTTGTTTTGAATACTTCTTTTCAGTTCTTTAAGGCAAATACGTAGGAGTGGAATTACTGGGTCACGTGGTTCTTCTTTGGAAGAACCACCAAACTGTTTTCCACAGTGGCTGAACCATTTTACGTTCCAAACAACAACACAGAGGGTTCCGGTTTCTTTACACCCCCCACCAACACTTGGTGTTTTCTGGGGTTTTGGGATAATGGTCATCCTAATAGGTATGAAATGGCATCTCATTGTGGTTTTGATTCATATTTCCCTAACGACTAATGATGTCGAGCATCCTTTCATATGCTTATTGATTATTTGTATTTCTTCTGTGAAGAAAGGTCTATTACAGCCCTTTGCTCATGTTTAAATTGGGTGGTTTGTCTTTTTGTTGTTAAGTTGTAAGAGTTCTTTATATACTCTGGATACTAGACCTTTATCAGATACATGATCTGCAAATATTTTCTCCCATTCTATAGTAGTCTTTTTACTCTCTTGATAGCTTTTTTAACACATACACACATTTTGCACCTGATGATGCTAGTGCCAGAGAGGATTTGCAACCATACATCATGTCACTCTCTCACGGTTCAGTTGGGAGAAGCTGAGGGCCCAAGAGATGGTAAAACTTCTAGGCTCCACCACTACTGGCTTGGGAAGCTCTGGTTAGCATTCTAACCTTTAGAATCTATCAACACTTCCGGATGCACTCAAGTAACTGAGAAGAAAAGCCACCGTCTCTTTTGTCATGTGTCCTGTGTCACTCAGATTACGGTTCTGTTTCGGGCATTTCACGGAGCCTCCCGCAAGCAGCTGATGTGGTAAGCCTTTGCACCTCCCTCTACATCACTATTTGGAGAAGAATGGGAGGGGGGAAAGTGTAATGGTGGTAAAGCCGTGTCACTGTACACAGGAGCTCCTGTTCTGGGTCATCTACAGATGGTTGAGCAAGCCACACTGCACATTAGGATGGCCCCAGGTGGAAAGTGTCCTCTGCTTTTTATTATTTTTTTTTTTATTATTCTTATGTTAATCCCCATACATTACATCATTAGTTTTAGATGAAGTGTTCCATGATTCATGTCCTCTGCTTTTTAATATGGTGACAGTGACATGCCACAGCCCCATACACCAGGATGTCCCTTTGTCCCCAGTCCTTCCCCTGGATTCCCTCCAGGGCCTCCCCCCCTCTGCAGTATGCAGTCACTCATCTCCTGGCTCCTAACACATTTAATTCCCAAGCTAGCTGAAGGATACCTTCTGCCTGAAACCCTGCTTGCCAGCTCCCAGGACCAGCCTTGGTGTCTAGGTTTGGATCACCCCATATTCAGCTCTGGGTTCTGCTCCTCTGAGGATTCGGGCCACCATTTCTTCCTTAAGTCTGATTTTCTCTGAACGAAGTTCTTAAATGGATCCTTCCAGTACTCTAGTCTTTGGTCAGCTGTGTTTATTTGCTCTGAGGCTTTCAGGCTATCCCTTTAGCCCACAAATAATGTTTGTTTTGTAATCCCTTTCCTTTGAAAGATTTTATTTTTCCTACATGTATTCAGCTCTCCAACCATAAGTCAATTCCCTTAGAGCCTCTGTATTTGCTCTTCACTTTGCCTGAAACACTATTCCCCAGATCTGAAATGGTTGTGTATTACAGGTTGGGCCTCAACTCAAATGTCACTTCCTCAGAGACTCTCTCTGATCACCCCGTTGAATATTGCCCTTTCCACTCCAATCACTATCACAGAACCTTGTTCTCTCTTCTCCGGGATACTGTTCACTATCTGAAATAGACCTGCTCCCTTATCATCTGTTGCCCCTACT